ACAGCAAACGGCCTATTTGTAAAACAAAAATTTTCCGCCATCTTTTTTCTCAACCGAGGTCCGTTACGTAATGTTCCATGGTTGAGTAACCAATCAGAGTGCTAGATTTCTAATGGTCCTTGGTTGAGTGTATACTACACAGTCAATTTCACGTAAGTCGGAATAGATCTCCAGCAGGTCTGTTACAACTTGTTGTCAACAAGCCGATATCTGGATGCGTTCGCTGACCTTATAGCAATGCTGTTTCCAACAAGCCTGTCGCAAGTTGTTGTGACAAAGCTGCAGCAATACTGTTGTCAACAACTTGCGACAGATCTGTTGCAAACCGAGGAAAGCGCCTTATGCAGCTTCGTGTATATCCACTATTTTGGACAAAGAACGGGCAAACAGGTTGCCATATCTCAGTTGTAGTGTTTCGTAAAATAGCAAGACTTTTACAGCCTCGTAACCAGGCGCAAATAACGTACTAAAAATAGCAAGACTACAGTGTTTTTATATAGATCAGTAGCTAAGATGAGCGAGAGCGCGGGGGTGCTTGGGGAAGACGCGGGAAACGAAGCGCCTGGCAGAATATGTAACAAACATGGCGGACATGAGAATGCAAATGAGGAAATTGCTGTATTATACTAAATGAAATTGAATGGCTTGCCCAACGAGCGGTACATTTGGGAAAGATTTTATGTCCAAATGATCACTGCGTTGATAATAAGGATTTTTCCTCGAAAACGGTATTATAAATTATTCATCATTTTAGCTGGTGACTTTCCTTGACAGGAGACCAGCCTCTCGAAATTAGAAAGTCTGCTGGTCATTAAATGAGAGAACTCAAGTTCATTGAACATTTAAAAAGAATAACGATTTATTTCAAATGGTTGAAAATATATGTCTGGTGTTGGATGCACATCATGAAATATACTGCCTTTTTGCAGTTTGAAAGAAAAGTATTCAAGCAAAGTCAAAGAAACTGGCCAAGTTATTCTTGATTAATATTTAATACATTGAATTTATATGGAATGTTGAAATTACTATTTATTTGTACTGATGATACCTTTTACCTCAGAGGAGAAAATTAACTGGAAAATATTTTATTGTAGGTTTCTTAGTTTCTAAAATTTTACCAATAAAAAGGCCAATAATTTAACATGCATGTCAGAGACAGAGTGCTTTTTAGTATGCAAAATACAGTAGTCCCCCGCTAACTCGAACTCGCTTAACTCGAACTCCTCGCTAACTCGAATTAAATCCAATTCCCCTTGGATCTGACACTGTTTTTTATAGTAATTTACTCCGCTTAACTCGAACTCGACTAACTCGAACTCCTCGCTAATTCGAACAAATTTTGTTTTCCCTTGGTCAAATTTATCCCATTAACTCGAACTTTGTTTTCGAGTCGTGGACCGGCAAACCTTAAAATGTCAGAACATAGCATTTTGATACCCGTTAACTTGGATTTTTATTCAAATAACAACAATTTAACCGGTGTATAAATGATCATAAATTTTAAGAGATTATACAGATAGTTGCGACAATTGTTATTGATCTAATTTTTTTAGTTCCTTTTGTAAATTTCTACATATTTTTCATGTCCAAAGAACTTTAGTTTGCATGGAAATTGCCTGCCTCCTCCATCACCCAAGTTAAAAAGATACTGACTATAAAGAACTTTAGTTATAGGAATGCACAATTAAACCTTGTGTAATTTTGATGAACAGTATAATAAAACTTTTATACCTTATTAATTATTAACATAATAAACGAAATCTGACACCAAGTCCGGTTAATTCGAACCGCCGCTAACTCGAACAATTTTTCGTTCCCCTTGGGAGTTCGAGTTAGCGGGGTTCTACTGTAGATATTAACATTTAATAAATTAATATAAACCTGTTTTGGCCATTTAGCTATTGTTGTAACTGGCTGACAGTAAGTTTAAAGCACAAACCAACCCAGTGTTTTATAGTTTGATTTGTATTTTGTGCTTCACCTTGCATTTAACCTATGAAAGCTATTGCCCGTGATTGCCAAAATCTACCATGCTTACACTAAGGAATGGGGTATACTCTGGACTTACTGGTGGCCACATATAAGGCATTTGACACCTAGTTACAGGACAGTGTCTAATAAACTGGACAATTTAAAGGTATTGTTGCATATTGCAATTTATTGGGCTGATTTCAGATGCATGTTAATAATCAATGATATTTGAAAAATATGTGGCAAACATCATCTGATGGTTTCACTGAAAATATGTGTCAACATTCAGCTAAAACTAAAATCAGCTCAACAAAGTGGTGTGTAAACATACATATACAATACACACATAACATATACACACACATATATACATATTCATATACATATACATATACACATACACATACATATACATACACATATACATACACACACACATATACATACACATATACACATACATATACATACACACACACATATACATACACATATACACATACATATACATATACCTATACATATACATATACATATACATATACATAGTAACTTTGAATTTTGTAACTGATCTAATTAAAAACATTCTAATGTTAAAAAGTTTAAAATTTTTGCTAAATTTTCGGCTGCAAACTGCTAGCCTTCTTCTGCATGAGCAATGTGGCTACTAAAATCAGATTGAATTGTTTTTATAATGTCTACTGTTCTGCTTGATTGAATTAATCAACGGTAAATAGCAGGATGGAAATTCAGCATGTTCATTGACCGTATCTTTGTTTATCACTGAATGTAGCGCTTCGAGAAAAATCCTTTGTGTATGATTTGTAACTTCTTTCTCGAGTATCAATCATTTATAACTTCCTCAATGAATATTTTCCTATAGAATTAAATGGTTATAGGAACAGATTCATTGAGGAAGTTATAAATGATTGTACACAAGTAAATCGAAACGTGGAAAATGAAATACGAGGTTCGACGTGTCTCCCATACGTCAAAGGTGTCTCTAAAAAAGTAAAAAGTGTTCTAACAAAGGCAGGAGTTCGGGTAGCATTTAAACCTGTACGTACGTTGGCAAATATATTTCGCATACCGAAGACGAGACAATCAGAGGAGAGAACAAAGGCTGTAGTGTACAAATATGAATGCAAATCCTGCTCTTTTTCGTACATCGGTGAGCCGAAGAGATGTTGGTGTTCTAGATGGTTGGAGCACAAGCCAGGAGTTCGCAAAAAGATCTTTTCTGCAATTAAAGAACACGCAGAAAGTACCGGACACGATGCCGCAAAGTCAGACGCCGTGATACTCGAGAAAGGAGTTACAAATTATACACAAAGGATTTTTCTCGAAGCGCTACATTCAGTGATAAACAAAGACATGGTCAATGAACATGCTGAATTTCCATCCTGCTATTTACCGTTGATTAATTCAATCAAGCAGAACAGTAGACATTATAAAAACAATTCAATCTGACTTTAGTAGCCACATTGCTCAGAAGAAGGCTAGCAGTTTGCAGCCGAAAATTTAGCAAAATTTTTAAACTTTTTAACATTACAATGTTTTCAATTAGATCAGTTACAAAATTCAAAGTTACTATGTATCCCACTGATCGCCTCAACAGTATATACATATACTTAAAAAACTCATTAATAATTCATGAAGAAAACACAAAGAAAAATCATAAGCGTGTCGTATCTGTATATGTGATACAGATTCATGTTGATTTACATAAACTTTAACTTTGATTTGCTCGGCTTAGGAAACGTTTATTTTTAAAATTACTTCGCCAATGAACTCATAAGATGAGTCGTTTTTTAAGCTATTTACAACATTCGCGTCCGTGTTGTATATAGGATAGGATAGGATAAAACTTTATTTGACTACGCTGGCCACTTCAACCGGAGCTGCTTTCCAAGTGGGGCTTAGATAAATGTTACAAAAATATATAAAATACAAAATCACTAAGAATATTAAGAACTACGAATACAAATACATATTACAAAACAAATGGTATACAAAAGTCAAATGGCTAATTCGTCAGTCTAACATAGGAAATATTTCTATTGAAAGAATTTAAAGATTCGCTGTTTCTTACTTGTTCAGGAATGCTATTCCAGATTTTAACCCCACTATATCGAAAACATTTTCTGCCATACTCGGTATTTGGTCGTAGCGGAAAGAGAGACGAATTTGAACCTCGTAAATTATAACTGTGGATATAGTTAGAATTCTGGAACATTGATGAGACCTCGATGGTGCCAAATTATTGACAACCTTAAACACGAGACGGGCCGTAATATGTTTTCGCCTTTCTTCCAAGCTTATCCACCCTAATCCACCATAATTCTAGCACATCTGTTGTGAAGTTTTTGTAGTCGTCAGACTGGCCTCTATTAATGGAATTCCAAACTTCACAACAGTAGTCGAAATGGGGTTGGACAAGACCATAACAGACCGACTTCAAAGTATCAGAATTAGTGAAATCCTTTATCTTTTTCATGGCACTTATTCCAGAAGATTTTGTTTTAAAAATTTGGTCAATGTGACTGTCCCAAATTAAAAATTGGTCAATTTTTACTCCAAGAGTTTTTGTAACTTGAACCCCTTTAATTGGTTCATCTCTAATAAAAACACGCGGTTGTTCTTCTAACGTGTTAATATTGTGGCGTGATCCAATCAAAAGATATTCTGTTTTGACAATGTTAAGAGAGAGCCTGGTCGATAGAATCCATTCTCTGATATTATTGAGATCAGCATTAACGGCCACCTCAGCGTCCTTAATTAATTTACCAGACACTGTAATGTTAGTATCGTCCGCGAACATGCGTGCTGTAGAGTGTTGTAAACAATTCGGCAAATCATTGATATAAATTAAAAACAGAAGTGGACCCAAAATTGAACCCTGAGGAACTCCATATTTTAGATATTTTAATGTGGAAAGTTCCCCCATTTACTTGACATTTCTGAAATCGATCTGATAAGTAAGATTTGAGAAGCATAAGAAGCGTGTTCTTAAATACCATATAACTCTAGTTTAGCCAGTAAAATGTCGTGGTTTACCGTGTCAAATGCTTTTTTTAAATCGAGAAAAAAAGGAAAGATTATACAAACCACGATCCATATTAACATACCACTCATCAGTACAATCTAGCAATGCAGTGGACGTGGAATGAAAGCGCCTGAACCCAAACTGCTGTTCAGACAATAAATTATTGGCGGTAAAATATTCGTATAACTGCTCATGCATACAAGATCTTTTCAAATATTTTGCTAATAACCGGCAAAATTGATATTAGCCTATAATTGTCTGAAACGGAGCGTGAACCCTTCTTATGAAGCGGTACAACTCTAGCAATTTTCCATTCCGACGGGAAAATTCCCATCCCAATAGCAGAGTTAAACAGATTGGTCAAAGATGGTGTAATTACAGAATTTTAGCCGGTATTTTGTCACATCCAGTAGATTTAGAAATAGACAAATTGTTAAGTAGCCTAAAAACCTGTGATTCGTTAACAGGATGCAAAGTAAATTCCAAAGTATTTAGATTATCACTCATATGCCTGCCAAAATTTAAATTCTGAGCGTGTTCAGAGCAGGAGTCTCCAATATTACCACCAATACTTGTAAAATAGTCATTAAGACAATTAGCCATTCTCATAGGAGAAGTAATTGTATCATTTCCTAGCTTTAGTTCGTTAATCATTGTGTCCTTCTTTTTTCTCCCAAGGATATCATTAATCGTCCTCCAAGCCTGTTTAGGATTGTTTTGATGTTTGTCAAATTTGCTTTTGTAGTAAACTTTCTTAGCTTCACGCATTGCAGTGTTGACATTATTCCTATAATGTTTATACTGGCTCCAGTCTTCACTTAAATCCGACGAAATTGCTTTTCTTTTCAAACGGGCCCTTTCAAACATTTTGTTTCTGATATTCCTACTAATCCATGCCACAGATGTTTTATTTCTTACCCATCTTTCCCTAACCGGGGCATGTTTATCAAGAACAGTTAGAAAAAGATTTTCCAACATGCCCATTTATTATCAATATCAGTTTCTCTGTCAACTAAATACTACGGTAAGTTTATAAGGTCGACTTTGAAATTCTCAACATTGAAATGCTTGAAGTTTCGAAATTCGACTTTTTTGCTACCGTGAGGTTTAAGATATGAATTAATTTTTCTTACTACATAAATTAAACTATGATCACTCACTCCCATATGAATTACATCATGAAATGCAATTCCCTCTGGACAGGAGGTAATACAAACGTCTAGTAACGTAGAAGACGATTCAGTAATCCTTGTAGGCTTATCGATTACTTGTGTAAGTTGATAAAGTTGCATAATAGAATGTAAGTGTTTAGCAGAAGAGTTGGACTGGTCTAACAGATTACAGTTTAGATCTCCTAATAAGTAAATTTCCTTATTCTCGTTATCGACATTCTTAAGCAAAGATTCAATTTGTGAGAAAGATTCGACGGTTGCTGACGGCGGACGATAAATAGTAGAAACGATACAACACGGCGCTCATGTTGTAAATAGTACATATACATATACATATACACACATACACATATACATATACACACATACACATATACATATACACACATACACATATACATATACATATACATATACATATACATATATATATATATATATACATATATATATATATATATATATATACATATATATATATATATATATATATATATATATATATATATATATATTATATATATATCCTTGTGGTCGTTTGAGCACTCTGGCCCCCATTACGCTCCGCGCATGTCTGGATGCGTTGAGTCACCATGTTGTACCACATGTCTTGGTGAGAGCAAGTTCATGGGATATAAATACGAGTGTCTCACGTATCTAGACGTGTACCGAGCTGCACCGAAGAGGCGTAGAACGCCGAAACATGCATGTCTGCAGATTGTACTATTACGCTCCTTCACTTCGGTGTTGTTGAGCACTCTGCGGAGTTGTTAATGGGTGTCTATTAGCGATAATGCAAAGCTCATTTCCCTTGTGGTCGTTTGAGCACTCTGGCCCCATTACGCTCTGCGCATGTCTGGATGCGTTGAGTCACCATGTTGTACCACATGCCTTGGTGAGAGCAAGTTCATAGGATATAAATACGAGTGTCTCACGTATTTAGACG